AAAGCTACACTAGGACTGTCTACCTAATATTAACACAAAGCTACACAAGGACTGTCTCCCTAATATTAACACAAAGCTACACAAGGACTGTCTCCCTAATATTAACACAAAGCTACACAAGGACTGTCTCCCTAATATTAACACAAAGCTACACAAGGACTGTCTCCCTAATATTAACACAAAGCTACACAATGGCTGTCTCCCTAATATTAACACTAAGCTACACAATGGCTGTCTCCCTAATATTAACACTAAGCTACACAATGGCTGTCTCCCTAATATTAACACTAAGCTACACAATGGCTGTCTCCCTAATATTAACACAAAGTCTGTCAGACTAGAGAAAAATCATCTACAGAGCAGTAACAACTGCCAATTCTTTGGTTATTCTAATAGAACAGTGGGATTTGACCGTCACTCTTATGACGCTATAGAATACGATATACAGTGCCAAAGCGCGAAGAGCGTTTTTTTATTTTTTTTCGTAAACGGTACCGCACACTATGAACAATTGAATCCACATTCCGGCACACTAACCATTTGACCACGCCCGGCCCTATATGAAAATTAAACATGGATATAACAGTTACCAATATTATTTTAACCTAGTCATGGCCTTATTCTGGTTAATTTGAATATTAGGCAGGAAAATAGACTTGTCTGGACTTGCGCGCGAATCAGGTAACGTGAGAACGTACTTTCGGTTATGATGCTTTTCCAGCTATATTTATTGATATAATTCTGTTTCTCATTCCAAATGTGTGTGTGTGTGTGTATGAGGATGTAAATTTATCTTGTTTGTAGTAGTGTTTGGTAAAAGTTTAGAAATAACCTGTCATTAACAGAAAAAGAAACCGAAGTCTGTCATGAGATATGAGTCGGACTGAGATTACTACAGTGTGCGTGTGTGTGTGTGTGTGGTGGAATATTTTAGCTAATATCGGGAGAAATACATTTACATATGAAACCTGCTTTACGTATGTTTTTAGTGGATGACGGAATTGAAGCGGATGAGGACGAGACAAAAGACGATGACGATATAACCGGTCCAAAACCAATGCTGCCCTACTCGTCAATGTTTGTTTTATCACCTACAAATCTGTAAGTCGTCTAGTATCACCACCTCAGAAAGATCGAAAAACTTAAGTATGAAATCGAAGGTTATAAATTAGTGTGTAAGTTATTACTGTCATGTTAGAAACTTCTCTAGAACTATGTAACCAGACTCAGTTACATCATGCTGAAAAGTTACATCCTTGTCATCATGCTGGAATGTTAAGTTACATCCTTGTCATCATGCTGGAATGTTAAGTTACATCCTTATCATCATGTTGAAATGTTAAGTTACATTCTTGTCATCATGTTGAAATGTTAAGTTACATTCTTGTCATCATGTTGAAATGTTAAGTTACATTCTTGTCATCATGTTGAAATGTTAAGTTACATCCTTGTCATCATGTTGAAAAGCTAAGTTACATCCTTATCATCATGCTGAAAAGCTAAGTTACATCCTTATCATCATGTTGAAATGTTAAGTTACATCCTTATCATCATGCTGAAATGTTAAGTTACATCCTTGTCATCATGCTGGAATGTTAAGTTACATCCTTGTCATCATGCTGGAAAGCTAAGTTATATCCTTGTCATCATGCTGGAATGTTAAGTTACATCCTTATCATCATACTGAAATGTTAAGTTACATCCTTGTCATCATGCTAAAATGTTAAGTTACATCATGCTGAAAAGCTAAGTTACATCCTTGTCATCATGTTGAAATGTTAAGTTACATCCTTATCATCATGTTGAAAAGCTAAGCTACATCCTTGTCATCATGTTGAAATGTTAAGTTACATCCTTGTCATCATGTTGAAAAGCTAAGTTACATCCTTATTATCATGCTGGAAAGCTAAGTTACATCCTTATCATCATGCTGAAATGCCAAGTTGCATCATATTATCATGTTGAAAATCTGAATTACTCCATTACATTGAGACAAATAAAATCTAAATTACTCCTCTAACACCAACTAGAAGACACACTTTTCCAATCAACTTGGAGAGGCTCCTAGTTCCTATAATGGACCTATATTTTACCTTATTATCGACACCCAGAAAAGCTAAAAAGACTTCCTTACTGATGTATTGGATTTCTTTGATATATAATTGCTCCCTTATCATAATGTAAAAATAATGAACAAAACACATTATTTTCTCTTGAAAATAAGCTCTCGTCGTTTCACGGCTGCTCATGTAAATATTTGGTGTGTTTTTCCTTTATTCTCGTGTTTAAAATCGGTCACTTCAATTGTTTTGCAGAATTCGTCGGGCCGCCCACTACGTCGTCAACCTTCGCTACTTCGACCTCTTCATCATGATCATCATCTCTCTCAGTAGCATAGCTTTAGCTGCGGAAGATCCTGTGGTAGAGGACTCCGATAAGAACCGAATTCTTAACTACTTGGATTACGCCTTTACTGGTGTTTTTACGGTGGAGATGATACTAAAGGTGTGAAACTTTTTAACGCACCTTCAGCACCTTAAAAACAAACAAACATATTGATTACAAAATCTCTGATATTAAAAGGAAGTTTTAAGTCCTAAATCGTTAAAGGTTTTTGTGTATTGTCAACATATTTACGATAGTTAAAATCAAAAACAGTATTTAAGAACTAAAGACAACAATAATTTTGATTCAGATTCTGGTTCAAGTTTCTGTCCCCCCCACACACACAAAATATACACTAGTTCGTAATATTAAATAATTTAGAGACGTTAGTGAAACAAAATGTGTAAATAAAGCCCCAGTAAGTCCATTCTATACACCAGAAAAAATTCTTTGAAGCTTGAGTATATATTGCTCTTTCGAAACAAACAGTTTATTGTATCTAAATATATACCCCAGCTAGGCCTGCTGTGATTTTATTGTCTTGAAATTTTTACATGTTTTACAGTAATTCCTGTACGCTGAATCCGAAAATGATGTCCATTTTTCTCCATCGCGTACAGATTTTTCACAAAACGTCATATGTACTTTTACATAAATAAATCATTTTCATTGAAATCTGATCACATTTTGTTATGCTTGACAACCACTAACTATAGATTTCTGTAGACCAATCGCGACGTGAGAGTCTTATCCATCGTTCTAAAACCTAAATGTAATAACAAAAAATACTCATTGTGGTAAACGAAATAATAATTTGATCCAAGTAAGAGTTTTTTCCCCCGTGATAGAAAACAATTAATATTATTTTCGAAATCTCCGTAGCTGAATTGTGGAAAATCCGTTATTAAAACCAAAACAGCTTTTATGAAATTTAAATTCGCAGGCCTGCGTAATTGAACTATCAGCTTTAAATTACGTAGAAAGCTTAAAGTCTGTTTATTAACCTCGAAACATAGGCGTAATTAGTCACAATTATTTAAATGTTGTGGAAGAAAGATATAACACATTAAGTGTTGCAAAGAAAGTGAATTTTATTGGGTTGAAAATGTTTGTGTGACATTCAATTAATACATTATATTATTAAACTAACATTCACTAAATGTTCTTTGACACTCAATTAATACATTATATTATATTATTAAATTAACATTCACTAAATGTTCTTTGACACTCAGTTAATACATTATATTATATTATTAAATTAACATTCACTAAATGTTTTGTGACATTGAATTAATACATTATATTATATTATTAAATTAACATTCACTAAATGTTCTATGACACTCAATTAATACGTTATATTATATTATTAAATTAACATTCACTAAATGTTCTTTGACACTCAATTAATACATTATATTATATTATTAAATTAACATTCACTAAATGTTCTGTGATATTGAATTAATACATTATATTATATTATTAAATTAACATTCACTAAATGTTCTTTAACACTCAATTAATACATTATATTATATTATTAAATTAACATTCACTAAATGTTCTTTAACACTCAATTAATACATTATATTATATTATTAAACTAACATTCACTAAATGTTCTTTGACACTCAATTAATACATTATATTAGTAAATTAACATTCGCTTCCTACACCCGCAGGGATTTACTTTTGTACGTTTCCAAGGAACTTTTTTGTTAACTGATACTTTAATTCGATACATTTTGAACGCCTTCAAGGTTCTTATTTTCTTGTTTTGCTGAATGTCGAAAATGGGCGACAAGCTGTTCTGTTTGATTCGGGGGGGGGGGTAAGTATCTTCCCTGTGAGGGGCCTGAAGTGTGCTGTGGGATAAAAAAAAAACTTTAAGGGGTCTACATTTTCTGGGCACACCACTTGTAGTATTTAGGAAGTGAACCAGTTTTAACAGTTAGCATTGTTCGTTGGGTACGGGGGCTACAGGGGAGACTAACCTACTTGTCACGCTAAGTCTTTTTTTTTTTTCAAATGTCAGGTGGTCGACCAAGGTGTTGTTCTACATCCGGGATCTTATTGTAGAGATCCATGGAATATTCTAGATGCTGTTGTTGTCGTTTGTGCCCTTGTTGCCTTTGCGTTTGCGTAAGTATTATATACATATAGGATAACTTGAATCATTTAGTGGATATCAAATATTTCGATTTAACCAGTAGTAAATGGTAAAAACTTGATGTAATTTGTTATATTGTCTTGAAAAATCACATTTTCAAATATTACTTAGTTTTTTTGACGAAAATTAGAAATAGTAAATCAAGAAACTGTAAAACATTTTTACTTCAATTATTTATTGTATTTTAAATTTTTATAACGCTGTTAAGATGTATTAATTACGAAGGCACATAATCTAATAGGTGTTGACAAGTACAATTAGATTCAAAGCTTAAGGCACATAATCTAATAGGTGTTGACAAGTACAATTAGATTCAAAGCTTGAAAAGATAGCCTTAATATATTTCAGTCATGTTAATTATAAGCTGTTAATCAATTAGATTTAATATGTTTAAGCTGTTAATCCATTATACTTAATATGGTTAAGCTGTTAATCCATTATACTTAATATGGTTAAGCTGTTAATCCATTAGACTTAATATGGTTAAGCTGTTAATCCATTATACTTAGTATGTCTAAGCTGTTAATCCATTATACTTAATATGTGTAAGCCGTTAATCCATTATACTTAATATGGTTAAGCTGTTAATCCATTAGATTTAACATGTTTAAGCTGTTAATCCATTAGAATTAATATGCTTATGTTGTTAAGCTGTTAATCCATTATACTTAATATGTTTAAGCTGTTAATCCATTATACTTAATATGGTTAAGCTGTTAATCCATGAGACTTAATATGTTTAAGCTGTTAATCCATTATACTTAATATGCTTATGTTGTTAGGCTGTTAATCCATTAGACTTAATATGCTTATGTATTAAGCTATTAATCCATTAGACTTAATATGCTTATTTAGTTAAGCTATTAATCCATGAGATTTTTTACGCTGAAGCTATTAATCCGTTAGATTTAATATGTTTGAGCTGTTAATCCATTAGACTTAATATGCTTATGTAGTTAAGCTATTAATCCATTAGACTTAATATACTTATTTAGTTAAGCTATTAATCCATGAGATTTTTTACACTTAAGCTATTAATCCGTTAGATTTAGTATGTTTGAGCTGTTAATCCATTAGACTTAATATGCTTAAGTTGTTAAGCCATTAGTTAGACCTTAACTTCAAAGTTTTCATGTGCCGTTAATCATCATTAAGTTTTGAAAAAAAGCGAGCTACCTACATAGATTTGATCTATTTAATCTAGGCTAATTTAATATAACATTCTTACTTATGGCAATCAAAATACATTGATACAGTTAGCAATGTTTTCGGACTAAATCCCAATAATATCTCACGGAATTTATTGTGGCTTACTTGGTTTAAAACGTTTTCCTTCACAATATAAATGGGCCTGATATATTACTGATGTTATAGACGCTTTCATTTCTTTAAATATATCAGTTCTGATATTTAAACCTGTTATAACTATAGTGATATTAAAACGTGACAATATAGACATATAATTTTATCTTGCGTCACCAGTGGGAGTAGCACAGGACAAAATCTGAGTACAATCAAGTCTATGCGAGTTCTTCGAGTTCTTCGACCACTCAAAACCATCAAACGAGTTCCCAAATTAAAGGTAAACAGATCATCAGCTTAAGATAAGCAGAATCTAAACTTAAAGCACGCAGATTCTAAAATAAGATAAGTAGATCCTAAACTTAATGTAAGCAGATTCTAAACTTAAAGTAAGCAGACCATAAAC